CTACCCGCCTGTTCCGCGCTCCTCTTGCCCCCGCGCTGCCGGCACCCAGCAGGCCGTGGACAGCAGCACCTGCTTTTCCACCGCCAACATCCATACATTGTGGGCCGCCAGCTCCTATAGCCTGATCATCCAGCACTATATCCTGCTCGTTCATACTGGCATGGCGCCGCCACCACCATCTCTGGCCCCCGCGCCGCCGCGCCGCTCGCCGGCCGAGCGCGCCTGGACCCCGTTCGGCCTGGCCTACCACATGGTGCTGCGGTGTGCCTTCTTGATCGCCCTGCTGCTCGCCACCGCGGGCACCTGGCGGTGGCCCGAGGCCTGGGCGGTCGCGCTGGCGCAGGAGGCGTTCTGGTTCCCGGTCGGCCTCTACCTCCTGCGGCACGACCCCGGCCTCATCGCCGAGCGCGCACGCGCGCTGATGGGCGCGCCGCCCGGCGTCGCCGCCTTTGACCGCGTGCTCGTGCCGCTGTTCATAGCCACGACCGCCGCCGGCTATGCGGCCGCCGGTCTGCAGCGGCGCCTCGCGCCCCCGCCTGCGCCGCTCGCGCCGGCGACGGCGCTCACGGCCGCAGCGGCGCTCGCAGCCGCGCTCGCGGGCGTGTCGTGGGCGCTCCTCTCCAACCGCTGGTTCTCGGGGGTGGTCCGGCTGCAGCCTGAGCGCGGCCACGCCGTCTGCTCGGCCGGCCCTTACGCGTTCGTCCGCCACCCCGCATACGCCGCCTGGCTGCTGCAGGCGCCCGCCGAGTGCGTGCTGCTGCAGTCGAGCTGGGCGGGCGCGCTGGGGGCCGCGCGGTGCGCGACGCTGGTGGTGCGCGCCGCGCTCGAGGACCGCTGGCTGCACCAGAACCTGCCTGGGTACCGCGAGTATGCCGCGCGGGTGAGGTACCGCCTGGTGCCCTGGCTGTGGTGACCAGCCAGCACTGCGTCGCGGGTGGCCGTGCGTGGGTGGCTGCCATGCGGCCGCGACGTTGACGTGGTGAGGCGATGAGTGCGACTTGCAGCGCGCGCGTGACTGCGCGGTGTGCGGGGGCGTGGTCGGTCTGGTCTCTGATGGCGCTCAGAAAATAAGGGTCTTGTGCTGTCCTGCAAGGCGCAAGAATGCCGTTTCAATAGTTCTGGTGTGACCTGGCTCCCACTTTTTCACCATGGTGCCACCTCACCCTCCAATATACTCGAATATGCTCACAAATGATGGCCGCCTCAGTGGATGCCTTATGCTGCACTGGTGGTGGCCTCTTGTGCTTGTTGACTGCCGCCGCCTGCACCCCGGCATGTATGCATTTCGTACGAGCACCATCCTGTGTGAGATGGAAAGACCAGCTGGCAAGCTGACTCGTCCTGGTTGTTGCAAGATTGATGGGCAATAAGCTCTTTGGACATGCAGGAGCGGTGCCGGCGCCGCGTGCACCCCGACCACTCGTTCCGCGTAAAGCAGCAGTGGGGCATCCTTGATGATGCAGGGGTGCTGTTGGAAATTGGAACAGCGCATGCATGTGCCGCACGGCGCACAACATCAGCACGCGTTGATGGTTAACTGCAGACTCTATGTGCACCTGTGTGTTGTGGCGCAAACGGCCAACTGAGCAGGCAGGAATGCGCTCATGGCTAGCTGTATTCAAAGGAAGATATGATGGCGCAACTTTTGGACTGACATCAGCAATGCATCCAGCGGGTGAAAGTGACCATCTGAAGCATGTACGGTGACTTTCCAGCCACCAGCCGTGCTGCCTTTGCGTGACTCGCAGGGGTGCATGCGCAGTTTCAGCGCACCCTGCCAGCCTGTGGTCGCAACCACAAAACAAGCGAGCTCAGCAGGCACGGCGTGATGAAGTTATCAGGCATGTGTGAAATTTTTATGAATAATACGCTGAAACCAGCAACGGGTCAGCACGCCTTCATCATCGCTTCAAGTGTGGGGAAGTTGGTGGTGACGGCAGCATGTTCCAGCATTGCCGTGCAGCCATGTCAAGCTTGAGAGCTCAAGCTTTATGTGCAGCCGAGGACAGCATTAAGCCTGACAACGCCATGCAGAGCTCCAAGAGCAGGGGTGCGCCTCTCAAGGGTCAGGTAGAGTCCTCACGTGGCCGTGCCAGTGCCGTGAATGTCACCGCGCAGCAGTCGCCACGCAAGTAGGCGTGGCACCGCTGCCAGTGCTTTGCGCACCAAAATTTGCGTGAGGTAGCTGGCGGCTGCGTTGCCAGCTATGAGCGCAAATAGTTTGCCTTGGAATGACATCGGCAGCCCCACCAGCTGTGCAAACTCGTCCACTGCGGGGTTAGTATCACAGGCAGGAGAAGAGGGAAGCAAGGCAGGGTGAGGTGATTTGTGAGAGCCGTCGAGGGCCGTGTCCCTGCGCTCAACAATTTGCCCACGCTAACTCAGTTGACCTGAACCCCGGTGGCATGGGAGGTCAAGAGCTGCTACCGTATGCGCATCTTGGTGCAGACAAGAGGCTTGCAGATGCAGTGTGGATGCTCGACAAAAGTGTTTGCTGCAATCGCACTCCCCCCAGGGATGTGGTGGGGCTCACTGATGGGGTCTTTGCTGCTGCCGAGGTAGTCGACCGGGGAGAAGACGCAGTAGAGGATCAGGGCCAGCTGAATCACCTGTAGGGTTTTGGCAGGGATTGTCAGCAGGTTGCGGTGCAGCATCAACTCACTGTGTTTTCATAGCATTCAGGTACGGCTGGTACTGAGTCCATGGCCGACATTGCGGCGAGGCCGCAATGTGGACCAGCACACAACAGGGGGCAGGCGGCCCCCTCCTTTCCAATATGCGTCGACAGCTGGCACAGCCGGATGTTGCAACTGCTCCAGCCTAGGGTGCAGGGCCCTCAGCCCAGTCGCTGCGACTGGGCGGCCGGCCTCGCCTGCCTGACACACCAACATGCCCACCAGTACGGCCACGAGGGGGCGATTCCTCCAGATCGGTGCTCGGAAGGGTCGTCCAATGTTGAGAGCAAGGCAGCTGATCCAGATCTGGGCGATGTTCATGTTGAAGACCACGGTGTTCTCAGGCGCCTGTCGTAGTGAGTTGGGGTTTGAAATCTCATGTTTGAAGCTCATGTTTGTCAACATTTGGAACATGAGCTGCTCCCTGATTGTATGATGTACCGTCGCCACGGCTCCGTATCCAGTCAATCGACCTTCCTTGCCCCAAAAACCCAAGCATCCACCCGGCGCACCATGGATTCCGTCAGCACGCCAACCTCGGTCGTGTCAAACCGCGTGTACCAAGGCTCGCGTCCCAGCATCAGCAGCGCGGCCACCTGTATGCAAGAGCATTCCAGGTCAACTATGAGGGGGGGGGGCTTCAGCAAGGCCCACGGCCAGCAGGCGCAGCAGTGACTAGAGCCGCACCCCGCAGGCCAGGTGGACAAAATGCTCCTCAGGCGGAGCAAGTGAGGACCCCCGCCCCCCTCCCCTCCAAATATCATCGCTTAGATGGAATGCGACTGATCACAGCGGCGGGCAGAGGCCCCCACACGCGTCATCCATACCCCAAACGGCGCCTGCGGCCGCCGCGCACCTGGAACACTCCTATGGTGACGCAGTGCGCCGCGACCGGCAGTATCACGGCGGCGCTCATGAGGCAGGGCGGCGGGCGCTGCGCGCTGAGGCGGCGGCAGGGCGGCGTGGCGGACATGAAGCCTGCCAGGACCGTGGCGAAAAACAGGTCTGCGGTGATGGGCGGAGGTGGGGGTGGATTCAAAGGGAGGGGGGCTGCTGGGTTGGGGCGTTCGGGTGGGCGGAGGGATTGTGCAGCGAGTTAGGTGAGGACCGGACCCGCCAGCTGAGTGGCGAGATTGAGGTCGACGTCATTGCCAGGGGGCAGCACTGACTGGCCAGCTGCCCATCACGCGCAGCGCTGCGCACCTTGTATGAGGTACTGGTAGTTTCCGATGGTGATGCCGTACATGTATACCAGGCAGATGCCAAACACCTGGGGTGACAGCCGGTGGTGCAATTTCAAAAACCACACGAGCAGCGGCTTGAAGAGATGGTAAAGTCGGGGGTTAGAGAGCGATACAGAGGGCCCTCGTGCCAGCGGCGCGTCTCATGCATGTCCAGTGTGCTGCATTCACGCAACACCCAGCGCTGCACCTGGATGAGGGCGTAGCTCATGATGAACCTGAATATGGCATACGCGGCCGCCAGCGAGCACCGCCCCTCGGCAATGACAGCAACCATCGCCTGCACCGTTGCGGCCCGGCTGGTCAGCGGCGCAGCGATGGAGGCCTCGGCCTGGCAGAGCGACAGCCCCACCAGGCTGGCACGCAGGGCGCCCGTGTCGTTGGCGCCGTCGCCACAAAAAGCGACCGTCCTGCAGGACGTGCGTGGGCCAAATTACAGCGTTGCATCACCCGCGCGCGTGCGTGAGTTTGTGGAGTGGCAGGGTCCGGCACGGCAGACTGAGGTGAGATCAAGTTTTAGGGGGCGGTTTGAGAAGGGACTGGGCATCACTGGCAATGCAGCCACCTCACTTTGCCGCGTCCCGCCCGCCGCACCTGCCCAGCCCCGGGAGTGCCGCAGCCCCGTCGTCCCCCCCGCCGCCCTGCTCCCCGGGTCCCAGCAGCTCCATCAGCAGGGCCTTGTCCCCGGGAGTCATGCGCGCATACACAGAACACCTGCGGCCCGGGTTTGAGGGGGCGCATTGAATGTTGTGGAGGCTTGCAACCGCGCTCTGAGCCAGCATTGCGTGTGGGGGGAGGCGCGGTGGTCTTGATCCGGTGCAGGGGGTGTCGGAAGAACTGGAGCTGACAGCATGACAAGATGAGCAGAGAAGCCTTTCTGATGGCTGAGCCCAGCCCCTCAGAAAACGCCTGGCAACGAGTTGTGCCAGCAATCAACAGCATTAATTCGTCATCCCAAGTATGGGGCGCTCTCATGGCCGCTGTTGCCCGCACGTTGACAGGACGACCTGCAGCCAGCTGCCCGTCTCATGGTCCGCAGGGGAGCTAGCCTTGGACCCGTACTTGGTCACGGTGGCTGGCAGCATCTCGCGCTGCACAGCACCGCAGTTGACATGTTGTGCGAGATGGATCAACAGGTCGAGAGAAGGAGGGGTTGGGGATTTGCGATTGAAGACAGCTTTGACAATAGTGGGCAACTGCTTGCCAGGGGGGTGCTTCAGTCGCCCAAGGTCGACGCTTCTTGGTACCAGGCAGGGTCCACGGGTGCGTGAGCCTCAGCCTGAGGCTGAGTGCCTGCAAGCAGGCTAACCGCAACACCAAAACACCCCCACCTTGACAATGATTGCCGCCGCAGCGGTGGGTGATGACGGCCCGTCCGCATCACCAAATTCATCATGCTCGGTCCCGTCCCTCAAACCTGGCAGCGCGTCCGGCTTCGCTGCCCTGGCTGTCTGCAAGGCCGCCGCCTGGTGCAGCGCCCGCAGCGCCGCGCCGGTGATGGCGCACTGCAGCGCTCCCTCGGCGACGCCGCGCACGGCGTCGCGCAGCGCGGCCGGCGCGCGGGCCTCGTCGGCGCCGACGAAGGCGCACTCGAGGCCGCCGCCGGCGGAGGGAGGGGCGGCGGTGATGACGGCGGCTGGGCGGTCGAGGTCCAGGATGCCGCACTGCTGGGCCACCTTCACCGCTGTGAGCACGTGGTCGCCGGATGCCATGAGGACCTTGGGCAGGTTTGTGGAGGAGGAAAGGGTTTGAGCTCTCAGACGGGCTATGGAAGGGCCAGAGGCGGGTCGTTTGGGAAGAGGCAGTGCTGCTGACGGCTCGTTGTGGCTGAGATGGCCGCTGGGCCCCGTCGCACGGGGCAGCTCATAGCCGCCGGCGCACAGGTCAGGGCCGGCTGGGTCCGGCCATTGGGCGGCAGACGCAGCCGCAGTCGCCGAGTTCGCGTGGACTGACTGACCTGCATGCGCGCCCGTTTCAGCTGGGCAATCGCGTCTGCAGTGTCCGGCTTGAGGGGGTTCTCCAGCAGCGCAAACCCAGCAAAGCAGAGGCCGCGCTCCAGGATTGCCTCGTCAGCGTTTGCAACCTCGGACGGCGCCGTGCCCGGCGGAAGCGCGCGGTGCGCGAGCGCGATGGCGCGGAGTCCGGCCTGACAACGAGTAGCGTTTTACGAGGGAGTCGATCTGGTCACAAGGGTGCTGGGCGGCTTGGGGGGTCGGGGGGTGGTCGCTCGGGTTGCAGCATGGCATGGGCAGTTTAAGCGAGCAGCAGTGCTATCTCAGATGCCGGCAGGGCGCGCTATGCGCTGGCTCTCAAAACCAGCGGCACCTGCCGGCACGCAACTGCGGAGTGACGTGCACAGTTGACTAGAAGTGCAACATAACCAGCAACCCCGCCCCCCCCCAAATAACGCCAGCAACCGACCTGTGTTGCGGCCTGCAGCTGCGCATCAAAGTCCTCAGGCACTCCGCTGACGCACAGGTCCCGCACCACCTCCGGAGAGCCCTGGGCAAAGTGCAAAGCGGCGTGCGGCGGTTGGGCAGTCAGGGATGGCATCAAGGGGTGCTAGCAGCGGCACCTTGGGAACAGGTGGCGGGCTGCTCCTGCATTGTCGCGGATTAACAGGTCTGCGGGCCGGGCTAGGCAGTCTGCTGGTCTGGTGGGGGGGGGGGACGCAGCTGGCGCGAAATTGCCGCTCGGGGCACCGCCAGCAGCGCATGCGTCTCCCAAGCCCCGCCGAGTCTGCTGACCTAGAAATCAGCAGAGAGAAACCACCGTCCGAAGTCGAGGCGCCCCTGCGTGCCCCTTCCCCCAGCCCACCTTGGCATACACCGCCAGGGACCCGTCCCCGTGCGTCACCACGACGCTGCTCCTCTGCCGCGCGCTCGTGAAGTCGAACCGCCGAACCACGCGGCACCGCTCCCCGCACGGCGAGACGACGACCATGCCGCCGCCGGCCCCCTCCCCGGCCCCGCCGGCCGCCGCAGCGCCCTCCAGCCCCTCCCCCGGCCGCCGGTCGCGCGCCGCCGCGCCGACGCCGATCTGGCCTGCTGCCTCGGACTGCTCCCCGAGGCAGGACCAGCCGCTCGCCTCGAAAAGCTTGATCTCCAGTTGGTCCCCAGCCAGGGCCCCATCCACCACAGCCAGCCCATGGCATGCGGCCAGCAGCACGCGCACCGCACGCGGCACGTCGACACTCAGCCCCGTCCCACCGCCGTCCGCGCGCGGCGCACCCCCCTCCTCGCACGCGCCGCTGCCGCCGCCCTCTTCGGCAGCGGGAGGAGGCGCGGGGGTGGCGGGCGCGCTGCCGCGCGAGAGCGTCACAGTGTGGAAGCGGCCGTCGGTGGCGAGGCGCAGCTCCCGCAGCTCGAGGCCGCTCTCCGTGAGGGTGCCGGTCTTGTCAAACGCCACGGTGTCGACGAGCCCTTGGTGGTGTTGGCGGTATTGTGCAGGTGGGGACAGCCGCAGGTGAAACGTCAAGGGTTTGCACATCAAAAGCACGGCCCTGCTGGTTGCCGCCCCGCGTGCGCTGCTTGCTGCTGCTGGGACGCGTATCCAGGCGAGGCGTGCCACTGGCAGGCGCCGAACGCGCAGTGATGTTGCAGGTCGAAGAAACGCGACCACATCATGCTCAAACATGCGCATGCGCACGCCTCACCCGCCAGGTTAATGTGGCCCGATGACGACACGCTGACACCGCCGCGCCACAGCCGCGCCACGGCGGCGGCGGTGGCGATGGCGAGGCACGCCACGAGCGCGGGCGGCACCGCCACGGTGATGAGGTCAAGGTACCTGGCGGGGGCGGTTTGTTGAGCGATGTGAGGTGGTTCTTCTGGAGCAATCGTGCAGGTACTGCGTCGTGAGCGGTGGATCACACCTTGTGTGTCATGCACCTTCGAGCGCTTTGTTGGCATGACCAGTTTCAGGCGGGTGGGGGCTGGGCAGATGGACGCGTTTTGCGACGGTGTTTGCCAGTGCGCGAGAAACGGGGGCAGAGGTGCATCGGTAAATGCGGGTCGGCAATGCGGATGAGACGCGCCCCCCTGCTCACTTGAGCGCGATCATGCCGGGCTGCGGCAGGTAGCCGTCAGGTGCGAGGAGGGCGAGCCCGGACGCGGTCATGAGAGGAGAAGGAAGCGGCAGGTTGAAGAAGCGGCGTGTGCTTCTTCAGGAGTGTTCAGGCGCGAAGCCGCATGCCATCTGGCGGCGCGGCCAGGCTCCCACCGTACTCAGGACTGCCGGCGGATCAACGTGATCTCGCCCGGCAGCTGCTGCTTGCACGTCTGGCCTGTCCAGATCCTGGTAGCAAAACATACCAGACTGCCACAACGCCCAGGCTCTGTGTCCCTGCTGCCTTGTGCGCCCTCCACCCGCCCCAGCATTGCCCCCAGCCCTTAACAATGACGCGGCAGCCCACCGTGGCGCCCATGCGGACGAGGAGCACGATGGACCAGACGTAGAAGCACATCCCAATGATCAGCATCATGAGGATGAACCACAGCGCATCCTGGGTGAAACGCAGCCTGAGGGGTGTGCGTGTGTGGGGGGGACAGATGAGTGGGTGTTGGGGGGTGGGAGATCAGATGCGCGCTTGTGTGTGTGCGTGTTCCCTGAACCCACATGACAGAGGGAAGGTGTAAGAGGGCACAGGCGGAATGCTGGAACGCTCGTTGCGGCATGACGTGCACTGCACTGGCAGTCGTGCCAAGCAATAGGTCGCGAGCGGATGCATACCGGCGGATGGACGCCTGCATGGACTGAACAGAGGCAGGGGGGGGGGGCAGCCAGGTGGGCGCCGATTCGCGTTGCAGCAGCGCGAACCGGCTGTCGGGCCACGTCGCGGCTCACTTGTGCTTTGTTGGGTGCAGCATCCCCCTCAGCATGCCGCCCTTTGCCGATGCAAACCCTGAGTTGAGCACGACCGCAACCGGCGTGCGCGCGGCGCGGCCAGGCGCGGCCAGCGTGACCTGCACCTCCGTGTCCCCGCTAAGCACAGCCTGCGGCTGATCATCAAGCAACCGCAGCGCCGCTGCCGCCGCGGCCTGCACCTCCGCCTCCGTCGCCGCCCTAGCCTCTGCCGCGTCCGCCGCCGCTGGGCTGCTGTTGCCGCCGCCGCCGCCCGGACCGTCCTTGAGTGACCGGCCGGCCGCGGCGACTTGAGGCCGGCAGGGGGCTGGGCAGTACGAGTAGGGCACCTTGCGCACCGCGAGGCTCTCGCCAGTCAGCTTTGCCTCGTCCACGACGACCTCCCCCTGGAGCAGCAGCATGTCGGCAGGCAGGCGGCCGCGGCGGACGAGGACGAGGTCCCCGGGGACGAGGGCTGAGGAGTCAATGGTGGTGACGGCGCCGTGGAGGATGACATCAACAGGGCAGCTGCGTGGAATGGTGGTGGTGGCAAAAATGGGTATGTATATGGAGGTGTGTGGGAGGTGTTGGATGCATGCATGTGCTTGTGTGCCCGTGCCTGTCTGAATGTATGCTTGTGGTTTGTGCTTACGTGAGTCAGCAAAATGTACCCCCTCATCTTGTCTATGCAGGTTTGCCAAAACCAATTCCACATCCACGCCCGCACGACCACCCACATGCCCCCCACCCAACACCCTCAGGTCTGCCCAAGCACCTGTAGAGGGCCATGCCCGCCATGCGCCGCGCCGTGCGCCAGTCGCTGACAGACGTGGCCGTAAACGTGGCCACCGTGATGAAGAACACAATGGCGGTGTAGGAGTAGTAGCCCTGCCAGCACCTTCGTCGCGAGAGGCAGGTGTGGCAGGGGCGGCTCAGGCAAGAACTCAAGGCACTGAACCACGCTGGCACAAGGCCGCCTCAAACTTATGGGACAGCCGCACGGCGAGGCTGTAACAACGCGCCCCCCCCCTGGTAACCCAGCGGAACCCTAGCGTGGCAGGCAATGCGCGTAGCAGCGAGATCCAAGCACGTGCTAGGCGCTCTGCTGGCGACCGAGGCGGCCGCGGCCGCCTGTGTTGGGGCGCAGCGGCGGCTTTCCGCTGCGTGCGCACCAGATGACGCAGGAGGCGTACTGGAACAGGCAGAAGGGGTGCAGCAGGCTGCGCGCCAGCAGCCGCCACAGCGGCGGGACAGGGACGACCTGGCGGCGTTGCCAGGTGGCCGTGTGCGTTTTTTGGGGGGGGGGCGGACAGG